TTGGCTAAATCAGTTTGTGGAATACCAAAACCTCAGTTTATAGGTGCTTTTTGAAATATGTAAGTATGAGATGCTGTAAACAAATTTCCTACCTTTTGTTAAAAGGAAAGGCCATCTTTAATAATTTGTTCATTACCTGTTACAGCAACATATAACACACATCCTTGTTGTGTTGTTTTCTCAGCCAGCTGCATCTTCATGTCATCAGCCAAGATTTTGATTCCACGTGCTTCAAAACCAAGAAGCACTGGAACTCTTTTACGACAGAGTACTTCATAGACTCCAAAGGTAAAAAAAAACAACAACCTGAGCCATCTCTTCTAAAATTACTCTTTATTTGTGAGTGTCTGTTTATTTGTCTGTCTTGTTTTCTCCAAGAAACCTAGCCATGACCACATCTTTCACATGCAGATTAAGCAGGTGGGAGGGTGTCTGATCTTTTCCATCTTGGGAGCAGGATAAAAAAAGCATGTAATAAGTAGTGTAGCTTAGTGAGGGTGCTGAGAATTAGCTGTTAAAAATCAGCCAGTGCCCCAAGTAACCCACCCCAGATTTGCAGGCTACACCTGGGAGAGGAAACTATTATTAAACCTCGTTTGGTAAGCTTGAGAAAAATAAAGGACAGATCGGAGATTAATTTTGTTTATGGAAGCGTTGTACAGAGGCTGTCCCGGATCGATATGATTTTTGGAAAAGTACAAAATCCACATAGAATGCCAGCTGTTAACCTGCTTGTGAAAATCATCAGAGATCGCAAAGAAAGGAATTTATGATAACAACAAGAAGGGAAAAGAAGTAATAAAGGACTATCCGGATCAAACTGGAGAGAACTGTCTAATTAATGCAGTCTAACAGTGATGCTGTTTTGGACTCGAGCTGAGCTTGATGTATGGGTACCCCCAACAAAATTTAAAATTTGGCTGTATAATTTGGAATCAATGTGATAATGTGATGTGATTGGCCTGTTAATAAAAATTATTCAAAGGAAACTATTATTAAACCTCGTTTGGGGTGTTGAGATTCCCCTAGGAATTATTCTGTCACCCCCTGGCTGTGAAACAGGAACTTTCCACCATTGTTTTCCAATATAAGACACACTGGCATCTTGGATATAGAAGCTATGAAATGGGAATAGCTCAGTTAGTAGAATATGAGACTCTTGATCTCAGGATTGTGGGTTTGAGTCCCACACAGGGCAAAAGATTCCTGTATTGCAGGAGGTTGGACTAGATGACCCTCAGGGTCCCTCCCAACTCTACAGTTCTGTTATTCCATGATCACCTGATGTGGGCCACAAACGGCCCAAGAGAGAGTCTGCTGCCACATGGAGAAAATTGCTTGACCCACAGCATTTGAGCAAATCATCGTGTTGAGACAGCTGGCATATGGAGCAGCTTAAAGCAGCATCTGTGTGGCCACTAATGTATACAGCTTAAGGTAAAGGTAAAGGTACCCCTGCCCGTACGGGCCAGTCTTGACAGACTCTAGGGTTGTGCGCCCATCTCACTTAAGAGGCCGGGGGCCAGCGCTGTCCGGAGACACTTCCGGGTCACGTGGCCAGCGTGACATCGCTGCTCTGGCGAGCCAGAGCCGCACATGGAAACGCCGTTTACCTTCCCACTAGTAAGCGGTCCCTATTTATCTACTTGCACCCGGGAGTGCTTTCGAACTGCTAGGTTGGCAGGCGCTGGGACCGAATGACGGGAGCTCACCCCACTGCGGGGATTCGAACCGCCAACCTTTCGATCGGCAAGCCCTAGGCGCTGAGGCTTTTACCCACAGCGCCACCCGCGTCCCCAATGTATACAGCTTAGTTTCCCTTAAATGAGAGTTGCTATAATAACATGGAGCTAGGAGAGGGAGGGACTGTTCTAATGCAGAGATCTCAGTCGCTAGAGGCTGAGCCACCTAGTCTCAAAGTTAATATGCCAGTTGCAACGGATTCACTCCCCTGGTTTTGCTTTCCCCCCAATCCACCTCCACTGCTGCTGAGAATGCCGCTGTGTCTTTGCATCAGATGTTGGCCGGATCATGGCAGATTACCCCATCCTCAGAGGTTTCCTTTTGTGTCTCTGTGTGAGTTAGTGCTCTGGTCACACACCTCTTTCCAATGGAGAGTGATGCATATCCTTTCATGTGCCAAAAGCAAACATGCTCAGGTCTGAGGTTTAGAATGCTGTTTTCCTCCAATTTTAATTCAAGGGCAAAATGTGTCTTCCCAGTATCATGTTTGGGAAGCGATGCATGAGAATGCAATGGGACTGGCAACAGATATATTTAGACAGATAGCGATGTAAACAAAATCTGCTCCTTTTCCCTTCTGGGGTATCCAAGAGCCCTTATAGAGTCCTTAAGTGGGTTCCCTATCGGTAGGAGAAAATAACAGAGGCCAACCAGAGAATATTGGGAAGCAAAGCAGCTAGTAAACCTGATCTTCATTAAACTGTTGCAACACGGTCCTCACCATATGCAGGAGGGAGGAGGAACCCAGAACAATGACATGCAAGCCCTTATCTAGACTTTTGAAATTGCCCACCCTGTAGTTCAAGACCACCCCCAAAACAACATACATACATCACAGAATGAGGCGGTCTACAACAGAAATCCTGTTTGTCAGGATACCTGATAATGGTCACTGATTGCTTACTTGGGCAGCCTGGCCATTCTTTCGTGATGGTAAATTCCTGAATCCAGGTCACAGGCTCACCCTATTCACACACAAAGATGCCCTAAAGACAGGTAAGCAAAAGACAATGGAGGAGAGTTTTTCCCATTTCCTTCCTCCTTGCAGAGAAACATTTGAGGTCAATTTCGGAGAGTCAAAATGGTTTCAGGATTGTTCTCTTGTATTTCAGACACGTTTACATACTTATGCATGTGGTTTGCCTTGTAAATTTATGAACATTTAATTTATATATCTGAGACCTTAAATTCTTATAACAATCAAGCAGCTGTTTGCACCAGCAGAATGTCATAAGAGGGAATCAATTCCCTCCCATGCACAAAGGGAGCAGAGCTAAGCCGTTGGCACACGTTTCCTAACTTTAACAAAACAGATGTGGCCGAACCTGTAATCTCAAATAAAACATGTCTGTCTCTCCTCTCCCCCACCCCAATTTTTCAGATCTGATTGCGATGGTGAAGAAGAAAGGGAGAGTAACTGTAGACAAGGACGTTGCCAAACTCTTGAACCTGCCTCTGAAGTGTCACGTGTGCAAACGGCAGCAACCCAATATCCCCCAGTTAAAAGAGCACCTGAAGGAACATTGGCCAAAATAAGATGAAGAACTGCTCTTCTGATTTGCTTGCTACGTTCTACTGATTGTTGGGTTAACCGGATCCCAAAGTTGACACGCTCATTTTAATTTAAAGACCATACCAAGTTGCTTATTAAAATGCCCACAAAGGCGCAACTATTTAGAATGGCCGGGTCTGCTTTAGCGCGACAGATTGTGGAGCGGCCTGGGGGTGGTTTGTGATGTCTCTGGTAGCGCATGGTGTTCCTGGGTAGGTGGAACCAAAAGGAGTAGCCTCAAACCCTTTCTAAAGGGCATTTATCTTTGGAGCGGGTGGGGCTGAATGGAAATCAAACTGGGTTTTATCTTGTGACCAAAATCTCTTCCCCTTCAGTAAGGCTGGGTGATAATCTGGTGTTCAATATCGTGATATATCACCATCTAAACATCGCGATATATCAATAGATCACCATGTCTGAAAAAAGGATGGAGCTGTGTAGAGACACTGGCTGGCTTCATGATTTTCCCTGCATTGTGATTTTTGGCGGCGCCTGCTCTTGTGATTCACTGCCCACTGCATGAGGCAGAGCAGAGTTAACGAACTGCAGGAATCAAGAGAAGCATTGGCTGGCTTCACGGTTTTCCCCACATTGTGATTTTTTGCATAGCGCACACAAACACATCATGATTCACAATATACTGTATTGCCAGGTCAAAAATTATGAAACTGATATCACAATACGGATTTCAAACTGGTTTTGAGAAATTTGCAGTAGATCACCAAGGGGTTGACTCCTAATTATCTAATGACTAAAAATAATTTCACCCAGCCTGCAAAATTAGGTGGCTAACAAAATGCATGGTGGGGGAAGTAGATTTTTGAAGAACTTACAAACTCGCATCTAGTACCCATCTCAGATTCCTGGACTCAGCCTATTCCCATTCCTGAATTATTAGTGTATTTCCATCCATCTGGGACACACTTGGCTCTGTTTGGTGGACCTCAGGGTTCTAGTGTGACATGGGGGAACCAAGTAGATCCTGTAAGCCTGAACCCCTGTTAAAGGCCATGTTGGTAACCCGAAAGGGCCAGATAAGGCCTTTGGGTCTTTTTTCCAATATCCCCGTTATCCTAGAAGAGATCAAGATGCTTAAAGAGGGGGTTAACTGAGTATTCTGAGGTATACAGTTTCACATTGTATTCCTAAGGCTATTCCACAGATGTTAGCTGTAAGCCAGAACACTTAACAACTAATATAATTGCTCACTTTCATACTGAACCATTGACAAGGCGTATCTACAACATGCCCAATAAATTACAACTCAAACAAGAGTACCAGCAATTGTTAATTTCTTATGGCCAACCCCAAATTGGGACCTTAATTCTTCCAGGAGCTCGTCCTACACTTGAGTAGGACACTGGTAGAGACACATGCCTGACTGGCATGTTCTCTCCCTCCTGGTTGTTTGTTCGGGAGCTTCAAAAGCTTTCTTCTGCCCGAACATCACAGTGACCGATGCCAACAGACATCGGCACACTTAGGGATCTGCAGAGTCTTCGCAGCTTGCGTGACAGACCTCAGCAACTCAGCATTTTGGCTAATCTACTTTATTTACATATAAACACACACTGAGCACCGCAACATGGCTCCCTCCCTCTCTAGCATCAGACAGCAAAGAGAAAAAGAACAAAGGACAATAGTCCCACTTCACAGAACACAGTAACACAAACATCCTGTCTTCGTCACTTCCCACTCCGTGGAGTCAAAACATACACCGTCATGTGATAGACAAAAATCCCATGACTGCAATCATGGAGCAGGAATTCTAACAAATTCCTCCAGTGCGGACGCATATTATGACCATTTCCTGCTTGCGTCTGCAACGTGGATGATGTCATAATGCACAATGCCAGTGTCATCAAGGTTCTGAAACCCACTGTGGGCTTCGCCACTTGTTTGAAATGGAGCCCAGCACCTAGAGAATGGGCGTAAATGAGAAACGAGACAGAAAATGTCTAGCCGAGGAAGTGCAAGTTCTGGTTCCGTGCCGTTGAAGAGGGGGCCGCTTATGAGGCCTGGTTCAGCCAGAGCTAGAGATGAAGGGGAGGCAACTCCAAGGATGGTGGTGAAGGAGACCAGAGCTGTCGTCGTAGACATTGGCACTGGCTCCTGCAAGTGTGGGTTTGCTGGGGAACTCAAGCCAAGCCATGTGGTCTCCTCGACTGTGGGCAAGCATATCCAAGAGACGGCAAAAACGGGAGACAATAGGAAAGAGACTTTTGTCGGCCGAGAACTTAGAGATGCAGGAATACCCCTGAAGCTTGTGAACCCTTTGAGACATGGGATCATAGTGGACTGGGATACTGTTCAAGACATGTGGGAATATCTTTTCCTGAAGGAGATGAAGATTCGGCCCGAGGAGCATGCGGTCCTAGTATCTGATCCGCCCCTGAGCCCTACCACCAACAGAGAAAAATACGCAGAAATGCTCTTTGAGAGCTTTTGCACTCCTGCCATGCACATCGCTTACCAATCTAGATTGTCCATGTATTCCTATGGCAAGACGTCGGGTCTCGTCGTAGAGAGCGGTCACGGTGTCTCCTACGTGGTCCCCATTTATGAAGGCTACACCATGCCAAGCATTACTGAAAGGGTCGACTACGCTGGGTCCGATGTCACACAACACCTCATGAAGTTATTAAATGACTCCGTGAACTTGTTCACAGAGAAAGACTGGCCCATTCTGGAAGATATCAAAGAGAACCACTGCTTCACTTCCGTGGACTTCCAACAGGAGTCAACGGCACCTTCCAGGAAATACGAGATGGAATATGAGCTTCCTGACGGGCAAACCATCATCATCGGCAAAGAGAGATTCCTGTGCTCCGAAATACTCTTCAAGCCGTCCTTGATCAACTCGCAGCAGCTGGGGCTGCCTCTCCTCACCATGACTTCCCTCAATAAGTGCGATGTCACGCTCAAAAAGAACCTGATGGGCAACATCTTGTTGTGTGGGGGCTGTACAATGCTTAAGGGCTTTGCTGACCGCTTCCAGAGAGAGCTGATTAAAATGTGCCCAAATGACAACCCCATTTCATCAGCTGCCGCTGAGAGGAAAACGTCTGTGTGGACCGGAGGCTCCATCTTGGCCTCCCTTAAGGCTTTCCAGCAGCTCTGGGTTTATAGGAAAGAATATGAAGAACGAGGTCCTTTTTACATCTACAGGAAATGTTTCTGAGCTCCCACCACTGATTAAACTCTTACACACACACACACACACACACACACACCTCAAGCTAGATGCAGAGAGGCTAAAGAAGTCTCACACCCGCTTTTCGGTTAGTACCCATCAAAAGTTACTTGATCTGTGAGCACTAATGGACTGCTTACTTTCCATTCTCCCTGTATTAAAAGCCCATAGTAAACACTGCAGTTATAACAAAGTGGTTTTCCATTTCTTGACACAAAGCGGCACAGCAAATTTGCACATAGGTAAGGCCTTCCTGCTGGATCCAGTCGTGAGTTATGTCACGTTCTCAGGAAGCAAGTGTAGCATCCGGCTGGATTTCTGTCTTATAGAAGAAACGGAAAACTGGAATTATTTTTGCCTCGCGTTCCAAACGGTAATGGAGTTGAACATGAAACCACTGCCTGCTAGGCCAACATCTTTCAAATATTTTTGCTTGGGAAAAGGGACGAGCCTTTTCACTTATAAAATGTGTTAAGTGTGAATTAGTCAAAAGTTGTGTTCCTTTCAGGGATGCCTTACTCCTTTTCTAGCTCAAGAATAGCAGTGCAGAGCGAAACAAACAAAAGTTTAAAGTTGCTATATCAATATAGCATTTACACACGCACACAATCAGGCATAATCCAGCACTGCAATCCTATACACACACTTAGGTAAAGGTAAAGGGATTCCTGACCATTAGGTCCAATCGTGGCTGACTCTGGGGTTGCGGCGCTCATCTCGCTTTATTGGCCGAGGGAGCCGGCGTACAGCTTCCGGGTCATGTGGCCAGCATGACTAAGCCGCTTCTGGCGAACCAGAGCAGCGCATGGAAACGCCGTTTACCTTCCCGCCAGAGCAATACCTATTTATCTACTTGCACTGGTGTGCTTTCAAACTGCTAGGTTGGCAGGAGCAGGGATCGAGCAATGGGAGCTCACCCCGTCGTGGGGATTTGAACCACTGACCTTCTGATTGGCAAGCCCTAGGCTCAGTGATTTAGACCACAGCGCCACCCGCACACACTTACCTGGGAGTAAATGCCATTGAACTAAATGGAATTTGGTTCTGAGTAGGCATGCACAGAATTTATGTTGCGAAAAGCCCTACTCTTAACTAAAAACTTGAGGCATACTTTGCTCTTTTCAGCAAGATATTTTTCTTTTTATTGCGGGCAGAGAGAATTATTCCCCTTCAGAGAAGTCCCTCTAATAATTCTGCCCCCCGCCTCATGTTTTGATTTCATTGAATTACCATAATGGCCTGAATATAAGCCACAGCTTTAAAATTAGAGGGTGGGGGGGGAGGAAAAAAATACCTGAATATAAGCCGCTCCATTCCTCACTGCTCCTGGCTGCATACTGGTTGGGGGAGCCGCGCCGCGTTGCGGCAGCCCTTCCCCTTCCACGCTCTCTCCTTTCCTGGCCTTAGGGGAGAGGACAGGGGACAATGTGTGGGGCAGGCGCCACTTCACCACACTCCTGGCACTGTTTGCCCTGCGCTCCTGACTGCATACCGTAAGGTCACGAATATAAGCCTCACTTTAACTTTTCACGGTTGGAATTTGGGGGGGGGGGAATGTGGCTTATATACAGGCCAATACAGTGGTTTCCCGCAAGACGAATGCCTCAGAAGACAGAAAACCTGCTAGACGAAAGGGTTTTCCGTTTTTGAGCTGCTTCGCAAGACGAATTTCCCTATGGGCTTGCTTCATAAGACGTCTTGAGAGTGTTGCGATTTTTTCGCTTCCCCCCCCTTTTTCTAAGCCGCTAATAGCCTTGTAGCCGCTAAGCCGCTAAGCCTTTAATAGCCGCTAAACCGCTAATAGCGCTAATGCGCTAATCCGCTAATAGGGTTGCTTCGCAAGACGAAAAAACCGCTAGACGAAGAGACTCGCGGAACGGATTATTTTCGTCTTGCGAGGCACCACTGTACGGTATATGTTTTTCATTTATTACAGACCTGGAGACAAGGACTACCTGCAGGCACCAATCAAAACAGGTGTCCCCAGGTGTAGTCAGAGGGAACATAATGCAGCCACTTTGCTGAAGTTACGCCAGCCTGGATCTAGGCAGTGCCTGGATGAGAGAGCACAAGGGAATCCTATGAATGCCACCTGGAGTACTGTGAAGGCAATATAAAAATATTAGTATTATTTTTAAATTTAAAAAAAACCACACAAATAAATACATAGTGTAAGATTTTAGTTTTGCTACTAGAAAACGTCTTTCCATAAAAGGATTACGTGCGCCATTGATTCATCAGCTTTTCCATGGAAATCCCCCCCCTCCAAAATGCAGGTACTAAAGTTTGTTCACAAAGAACAGAGGAACCAAAAGATACAGAGAACCAGAATGGGAAAAGGTGACAATGAAACTTTATTAGCCCCTCTTTCTCCTTGATTTTGAGAAAAAGGGGCAGCTCCTATAAATATTTTGTCAAAACATGGTATTTCAAGGTTAATGTATGAAAATCCACCATCAGATACTCAATTGATACAGCTGTGGTGTGGTTGTACCAGGAGTGCTGTGCTCTTGGGGGAATTACAAAGCGCATCTGGTTCAATGGGTGCTTCACTTTTGCTATGCAGGGTAACTGATGTCCGGATTTGAGTTTGAGTTGGGTGTCCTTAAAAGACACAGAGAAGTCGCCATTCAGCCTAGAAAACCACGATGCAACTAAGGCGCAGGTCTGCTTTCAAGTTTTAAAAGATCGTTCTGTGATACCCACTGCCAAAAAAGGGACCAAAGAGCAAAGAAATGTTGTTTTGAGGCAACAATTTTAAATAAACAGATGTTGCCTGTTTGGTTTGCAGAGGCTTTTGTGTTTGGTTGTCCAGGTAATCCATCTGAACTCAGCAGCAGGAGAAAAGAGGGGGAAGGAAGGCAGGCCATAATTCAGAGCTATGTAACAAGGTTGGTGAGCACTGACTTTGGCCTGCCAATCCCTTATCACTTCAGGATACATGATCAGCTGCAAGATTTGGAGAAGGCACATATTTCAGAATCTGAAGACACAGAAATACAGGCGCTCAGTCTATCTAACAGCTTCAGGGTCTGGATTATTGGAGAAGGTTCAGTTTCCACTGGATGCTTTTGTTGAGTTTGGGAGGTATAAAGAATTCAGGATCTGGGAGAGAGGGGGGAAACAAAAGACAATACTAATAATTATTGACAAAAATAAGCAGGCAAGCAAATGCATTTTGCATGTAGTATGGGGAATGCAGAAACTGAAAGGAGATGCAAATGCCAAAACCTCGCAATAGCTTTTTTTTTTTTAAAGGGGGGGGGGAGAGAGAAGGAACTTTGTGAGCATGAAAGTCATTCCTACAATTCCACCTGCTATTGGACACATACTTAAAATGAATCAATGAAGAGTATAAAAATCTGGCATTCCCGTTTTTAATCTCATTGCTTTGTGATCAGCACAGATGGTTTCTGGAACTTTACTGAATGGTATGCCTCATGGTAACCATATTTAATCAAGATTAATCACCAAAAAACTCTGTGTAGTTTACATATGATCAAATATTCATTACAAATACCAATAAAACCAAGCATTCTAGATAATGAAATTACATGGTATGAATTGTTTTATTTACTTATTAGGATCTTTATAGAAACAGAACATAATATGAGTCACAAATCAGTAGGGGATCGGCTCCGGAACCAGTTTTGAATGCCAGGAGCCAACTCAGGAATATATGAAGAAATAAAGAATAGTGCCTCTGAGCATGTGTAGAGTATGTTCCCTCAGCTTTCAAAATCAGAAGCAGCTTCCTCCCCACCCTATGGGATTAGAGGATTTCCAGTCAAACAAGTTTTCACCTATATGTATACAGAAATTAAATGCTGAATTCAATCACAGTAACAATTGATTTGTGTAGCATATAATTTCTCTCACCCACCTTGTGATGCTGGAGCCATTGTCTTTTGCTGATTGTAGGCCGCGCTTATGCTATTGGCAGTTGAATTGGGACCCAGGATCTAAAATTGCAAGGATTGGAAAGTGGAGCAATTAGTCTGTGGCTCACTAAACATGCAATGCTAAGCCCAGCCACGGTTTAGTGTGCCCTACTGCTGCCATGCTACCCAGGGCTAAGCTGTGGTTTTGCTCCACATTACAGTGGTGCCCCGCAAGACGAATGCCTCGCAAGACGAAAAACCCTAGACGAAAGGGTTTTCCGTTTCGGAGGCGCTTCGCAAGACGAATTTCCCTATGGGCTTGCTTCGCAAGAAGAAAACGTCTTGCGAGTCTCGCCATTTCCCCCCCGCTCCCCCCCCTTTTTCAAAGCCGCTAAGCCGTTAATAGCCTTTTAACAGCTTAGCCGCTTAGCCTTTAATAGCCGCTAAGCCGCTAAATCGCTAATAGCGCTAATCCTCTTAGCCGCTAATGCAGTGTTTCCCAACCGGTGTTCCGCGGCACACTAGTGTGCCGCGAGACGTTGCCTGGTGTGCTGCGAGATGTTGCCTGGAGGGAGGCAGGCGAGTCGGGCGGCGAGAGGCGGGGCGGCGGCGGCGAGGAGAGGCCGCCCAGCGCGGGGCTCTCGCCGTCTGCCTGCCTGGCTGCCTGCGTGGCGCTGACGTCACGGGGCTGTAACGTGCCCCACATAGGCACACGCGGGGCGGCGAGCGAGCTCCCTCCCACATCCCATCGCCGCTCGCTTCGGCCGGCCTACTGGGCTGTCGCAGGCGGAAGGCCTGCGCATGCGCAAGGTTTTCGCGCCTTCGGGATTCCCTTCACGCCTTCCTCCTCCCGGGTCCTTGAGAGCGCGGGAAGCGGCAGCGCGAGACCGGCGTTGAGCCTGGTAGGTATTGCGCTTGCCAAGGCAGTCATTTGGGAAATGAAAACTTGCAAAGCAAACAACCAGTTCAATCTGAAGTACGTGTATGCTTAATATCCTGTATCTGAAACCTGTTCTGCCCCCTCCCCCACACTTGGTGCCATTTTCATCTACACATGCAGCAGAGTAAGTTGACCCAGAATAGTACCAATTCAGATGGCAGATGGGAGAATGACAGTGCTGAATGCTTTCCCATGTAGAACAGTCCCTGCAAATAAAAACCTAGCATATTTGGAAGAGGGATGCTAGCCTAACCATTACCTTCTATGCTGTTACTATTTTTTTATTTTTTTTTACATAAGTAAAAAGTGACCTTTCCCCATCTGGCATGGTGGTGTGCCTCGAGATTTTTTTCATGAAACAAGTGTGCCTTTGCCCAAAAAAGGTTGGGAAACACTGCGCTAATGGGGTTGCTTCGCAAGACGAAAAAACCGCTAGACGAAGAGAATCGTGGAACGGATTCTTTTCGTCTTGTGAGGCACCACTGTATGTCTGAACCCAGGTTCGTGGTTTGACTCCTCCAGACAGATCACGAGCTATAAACCCAAGAACAGGTCTGGGTTACAGCTCATGGTTTATCTGGAGCTGAGCCCTGGTTCACACTATATGCTAAGCCAAGCCAAACCATGGTTTAGCCCTGGGTAGCACAGCACAGCACAGCACAAAAATGACCAGGAAGAAGCAAATTGCTGGCAGACTCCTCTCTTCGAATCAGCATATTCATATAGTCATTCAAAGTCATCATTTGGCTTAACACTACGTCAATCAGGTCTATGTCTAACAATGAAATTACCCTAAAAAGTGGGGGTCGTTTTATACATGGATAGTGCATAGGGTGGTCGTTTGAT